ATCATTCTTTATTTAATATAAAAAAATTATAAAGATTGGTTAAAATTTGAATGATTTTTATTAGAAGTAATTATTTAGTTTTATATTGATGTACAAATCTTTTTACACCAATCCATATTATGATATATATTATCTTTATATACTTCTTTAGATGCATAAAAACTGATTTTATTAATTTGACATTGATATTAATAACATATTCAATAATTATTAGACTAGAATCTTATACTTTAAAAAAATGTAGTATAAATATATTAAAGAAAATGATAAATAAATTAACTATGAAAAATTAAAACGCTTATATTGGATTATTATTATAAATCAAAAATTCATAACAAGAAATTTGTATATTATCGTTATGCTTTCATTCTGAAAATCTGAAAATATATTAATTCCATGATATGCTTCAAATTTGCTGATTTAGAACTTAGTATTCCAATAAATATGAAAAAATCTAACTAAGAAATTATAAAGTATTTCTTATAAGTCCAGCGATGCTGAATAGAAAGTGAATGAAGTCATATTAGAGATCTCGTATTAAACATTTACAAAGGAGTACAACCTATGATGTCAATTAATGTTTTATCAAACTCTGAATTAAAGATCTTAATCAACAGCGATTACTACATAGTAATAGTCTAATTCCTCTCTTCAATCCCACGTACAGTCAAAAATCTGTAAATTCACAAAACCAAGCAAATCAGTAACAATATTTATTATTTGTAGCTTACTTACAAGACTTTATTGTAAGTTACATCCAAATTTAATAAAATACCGAAATTTAACAACCCTAATCGAACGCGAAGCTGTATTTGCACAATTCAGAGAAAATTAATCCCTAGTTTACAAAAGAATTAAAAAAAATGAGCAATTGGCAAAGTTAAAGAATGAGTGGACGACTTTTTTACCTTCGAAACTACGGTGTACTCGTGGCAATGCTCTATAGTATTTATTTCGATCGTTCACTTAAACTCAGTTGGATTAAATTCTATCCAACGTAAATACCGTAATTCGTGGCATAAACCATCCTGGGTCTGTTACATCCTACCATGGATGGCTTGATTAAGACCCATGGGTCTGTGATATAGAGAAGGGTGTTTTATATGGAGGGTTTAGTGTACGAAGAAGAAAGTTTATATGGAGGATCTGACATAATTTTAATACAAGTGTGCATATTACCGGTGATGTTGCATGTTATAATAGCGATAGGTTTAACAGGTTTGAAAAGTTGCAACTTTTGACTTGAAAATCGTAATTTTTAAGCATACAGTAATTGATATAATATTCGTAATGTAATGAACCAGTTCTACAGACCCGGGTCCTTAACTCGTATCTATGATAGAAACTCCGTGGTAATCTTGGAACTAGGGGGTGGTTTATGTAATGATGCTCAGTTCTCATGTTCGAACTGCCAGACGATCACCAAAAATAGTTTTCTTATTTTCGGTCATATTATCTAAAGGAAGGTTGGCAAGATCTTACATTATATTGTGTATGCTAAATCTTATTGATGAAAAACAAAATCATTAGTTAAAAAAATGAAAAGAAATCAACAAATAATTTAATTTGCTCTGCTCATGAAAAAAAATGTATAATAAAATTTATTCTCATTTCGAAATGTTCATTTTCGAATCCTTTCTACTTATCTTCATTCTGTCTCTATCAAGATCACGATATATGAATCAGCATTCGTAACTTGGACAAAATTTTTAGAGGAATAGGTTGGAATTGTGGCGGGAAGTAAAACAATTCTTGGCGACAATCCGAAACTGAGTAAGATGCCCATAGATATGTTAGTATTGCTTATGGCAGAATACAATGGTGTCGTTGGGCAATTAAGTCTATTGGGATGCGAACAAGGAAAGAACCTATGAGCTTGATGAATGCCTTTAATGAATATTACGCTTACAATTAAAAGTTTACCATATCCCCATAACATTCCTTTTCGCTATTTTAACATTATAAAATATTCACATTGATTGATTACTTCAAATAACAAAGAACCAAATATAATCACAAACCAATAAAAATTTTGAAACCCTTGTTTTATTTTTTTTATTAAATCATATTGATAGTTCAGTGCTCTTATAGTGAGGGTATGACTGTATACCGATACTATCATTATCGTTACGAATATCTTTGATATAAATTTTCACAGCCATTTCAATAAATAATACATGAATCTAATATCCGACATCAAATTTTCATTATGAACTTAATGTTATCCAAAACGTGAATTTCCGGCTTTTTTGATGGAAATTTTTGTATTGGAAATTGTTTCCGTTCCTATTATTTGTAGGGTGCAAGAAAATAATCAGAATTTGAAATCTGGAAATCAAGAAATAAGTTAAAGTATGCATATGATTGATAGCATCTGAAATATGGTGATAAGAGAAATTTTTTGAATTTTCTCGCTTTATTCAGAAAATTCAAGAATACAATTTGTAGATTTTAAAAATATAAAGTCTAAATTAAATTTTTGAGTTGAATAAAAAACTAAAAATATGCCCCAAGAAAATAAATAATATTCCACAGCAGGAAAGAACTAGCATATTATCATCGAAAAAAGCGCCTGCTGCTGTACTTGGCATACTCTGTCCTTTATGATCTTGCTCTTCCTTATTGCCATTATTTCCATTCGCTACCCCGCCATTTTTCTGAGCTTTATTAGAAACACTACCACCAGCAGAATCATTTGCTAATACATCAGCAATAGTGTTATTATTATCTTCCTGCTCAGAAGGTGCCGGGATTGGTACTATTGTGAATGGCCCAACATAATCCCAGATTGTTTTTATCGATGATGTTTTTTCAGATGGAAATCCGAGTTCAATATCAACGAAGAACAAGGACGAATTCCTAATGTTTGGCGAGAGTATTATTTGTATTGGGTATTTGAATGAAGTGATGTTTGTGCTTGTGTTATGATAGAGCGTCTTAGTTTGGATAAAGCGAAGCGAAAAAACGTATTAATATTTTGTTACGTTTAAAAATTGTATAAAGATTACTCACGGATCGATAATCCCATTGCCAATTATTATTCGTGTCCAAATTATTACTGGTATTCGAGTTATTTCCCAATGAGGAATTCGTATTTGTAGTTTTCTTAGTAATAGTCAAATTAGCAAACAAAAAAGCATCGAGTTTATGTAACGGCACTTCAGTCACATTATTAACATTCGTTCGACATTGTTTGCCAATAAGTTCCCACTGGACAAGCATTTCATCACCGGGTGCGTATCTGTCTCCAAGCTTAGGACTTTTCATCTGCACGCGGCATCCTTCATTTTCTTTTATTTGTTGTTGTTGTTGTTGTTGTTGGTATTCTTGTTCTGTGGGCGGTTGATTTTGAGATTGAAGCCATTGTGAGTATTGGGACGGAATTGCGGGTGTTGACGATGGAGACAGACAATTGACGAAAAGAAATACGCTGGAGTAATAATTTGCGAAACATAGTAAAATTGTTAAAGTTGATAATGAATTGAATGCTGAATAACGTTTCGGCATTTTTTAACAGAAAAATATTTTAGGTTGTTATATTTTGTGGATGTTTATATTTTGTAAGCTTCATTGGTAATTAACTAGATTGACGCGAGTCGTGTGGTTCATCCATGTTCTCATAAAAAAATACCAAAGATTTGTTCGTTTTATAGACCTTTCATTCAATAAATCTATCAATCAACGATATGTTGATACATGAAAATATCTGAATTGATAATGATGATGGATATTTCCGCTTAACAAAACACATGCGCTTTCCAATCAATCAAAATTATAAAAATAACTAGTCCAATAGCCTTCTAACTAACCAGTTAAACAAAGTCAAGTTTGTAAAGTAATAATGAATTTATTATCCCTTCAAATCTCAAGCTACTTGCTCATTACTCTTTTATTTAACTACGCATTTGTTCTCCAATTATGTAATGCTAAAAGTGAAGAATTGACTACGATAACAACCACCACCGTATGTGCTACTACCACTACCACCGTTATATCGACACCAATACCGCCCATTCCCACTAAAACTTGGCCCTTTCCTACAGAAACGCTAACTTCCTGTACAACAATCTTCCCTACTAAAACTACCTACACGGTTACGCCCACCGAAACGACCACCGGCAGGCGCACCCAGACAAAGTTCCCATGGTCAAGTACCACCGCATCCTTGGTTCCTAACAATTTTCAAGAGCTCCCTGGGAACCCTGATCCGTCAGAAATTCACCTGATCACTGCAGTGACTAAACATCATCCCCCTTCTAAGCCAACGGATGCCTCTCAGAATAGTGCAGTAAGAGAGGGTGGTGTTAGATATGGTGATAAGGTAGCGGTTCTTTTGGCAGCTGTTCTTGCAGCTGTTGCTTTATTTTAGTTTTATGTGATTTGGCAAAGTTTTTGCAGAGATAATGAGAGCGGCAGTTACGCCATTGGTTGGATGCAATTTGAATTTGGATCTGAAGTAGGTGGAATATCTATTGTTGAGTCTCGATCTCTCACATTTATAAAAATATACATTTAGCCGTGTAACTTTTTCTTTTCTATTGTATCTTTATTATATTTTGTTGAATAATATCAACAGAATATTTCATATTTCAAAGTGTTCATTAAAAGAATAAGTTACACTGTATTTATTCCATATCGAGATACCGATACGTATTGGTTTGGTTATCAACCGCCAATCAATAAAGATTCACGGTACATGCGTTAATCATGCATTGATCAAGTTATCTATAAATATAAAATCTCCCCGTTTCTGATCTGTTTCTGGTTTAAGGGAGTCTGTTCCCAATAATACATGTATAGCAAACGGAAAAATATCAGATTATAGAAAAATGATATTAAGAAACATACTACCAAAGACTTTTCTACAGTTTCTATTTATCTTCTCCGTTACAATACTGCTAATACCTTCACCACTATTATTTGGCGACGCTTCAGCTACAATAATAGACAAACTCTCGGAAGACCCACAGTTCAGAAATCTTCTTCGTGCACTACAACACACCCGCCTCATACGCGAAGTCAACCGTTATGAAGTGGCCACGTTGTTCGCGCCCACTAACAAAGCAATTGGTGAGGCTTGGTGGGCAGTTACACGCGAAAAATTACTTTATCATTTTTTAGGGGTTGATATGAAACTTGAAGAGTTGAAACCTGGACGATTGTTAACCACAAGGTTGAAGTTGGATGGGAGACTTGGGGATGGAGGTGACAATGAGCCGGGTCAAAGGGTGAAGGTTGAAAGAGAAAAGGATGTCTATGTTGGGAATGGGAAAATCATCGGTGAACCGTTGCTAGCAGACAATGGTATTTTTCTTAATTGATTTATCTTCTTTCAAGATTTGTAAACTTTGTTGATTAGAAAATTTATGCATTATTTAGGCATAATTCACACTATAGATGATGTTTTAGAAATACCTTTAGATCTTAGTAAGTATCTTGATTTTTATTTTATGCACATTTAGCACAACATTTTTTTTGATCTTTAAATTATTTTATGACGTAGATGCTACACTTCATCAACTGGATATCCGGCTATTCACACAATATTTCGTAAAAAAAAAATTATCACATTTCTTAGCCACAAAATCACATTTAACTCTCTTTATTCCGATCGACGAAGCATTCAGCCTCCGTTTTAAAAAATATGAACGAAAATATTTGAATGGCACTTGTGGTGGGGGACTGGATGATCTCGAACTTGTGTTGGGACATCATGTTCACGATGGATTGATCTACACGGAAGATATGGAGGGTTCACAAGGTTTTCTTCCTTCCTGTAAAATTTTGTGGTTGTAACACAATAAGGAATGATAATGGCTCACATTTTTTTCTGTGTCTATGTATAGAGAAATCTACTATTCAAGGTGAGCCGATACCCATAGTACGTGAAAATAAAACAGTAATTAAGGTTGGAGATGGGCATATTATTGACAATAATAAGGATATTTTGGCGAACAACGGTATGAAAGTTCTTTTTTTCGAGCTTAAATTATGAACCTTATTCAAATTCATCCTCGCGATCTAGGTGTTATCCACATTGTAAGTCGGGTCTCAGCGCCACAAGCACTCCACTTTAACGAACTAAAGTATTTGTGTGGTCTCGACGCAACAAATTTCGTAGAATGGATTCGAAGAGCCGGATTAGAGCATTACATTCAAGACTCTGAGACACCATACACGATTTTAGCTCCGCATGATGACAATTACAATGCTCACGATAAAATTCTCGATATCATTAACGATAATATTAAGAGCACCGCTAGTGACAATGAAAAATTCTTGAAGTATCATTTTGTAGAAGGAAAAAAAACTATATCCGAATTGACAGATGGACTATTACTTCCTAGTGAGGTGACAACTGACGATCTAAAGGGACATCACCAGCGTATTAAAGTTAGTGTTAAGCCGAAATCGAGAAGAAATGATGATTATGTTGGAAATAGTTTGACGATGCCCGAAGTTCGATTTAATGATCTTTCGATAATTGGTGAACCCGGTATTATATTATTGCTTTTTATGATTCGATTATGCTATTAATTTTTGACCCCATAATCATTTTCTAAATAAAACAATTCATCTTTTTTTGTTACTTTTCACGAATCAATATTATAGTGGAAATTGGCAATTCAATAATTTATGTTCTCGAGGATGCACTCACACAACCTCACGACATAATTCAGACTCTGTCTCTGAAGACGGGCAAAAAATTTCATGAGTTCATAAACGCGTTTTATGTTAGTGACCCAAACGACACCATTCGTAACTTACCCGGAACAACAGTATTTGCGCCGATCGATGAAGCATTCACCAAATTAGGTCTCGTCTACAACTATCTTTTACATCCGATCGGTAAACAAGATTTGACTTCCGTATTGCAATATCATGTCCTTGACCAAGTTCTCTACTCGGAAGATATCCCTCAAGGGAAATTCATGTTTGATACAATCGAAGGTGAACCGCTTATTATTCAGCGTGAAAAAGATGTGATTAAGGTCGAAGGAACGAATTATACGGCTGTTGTCACGGAAAAAGATGTTTTGACACGAACGGGTGTAATGCATATTGTCGATTCGATTCGAATACCACCCAGTGTAAATATTACACCATATAAGATTTTAAAAGGAATGGAAGCAGAAAAGATGATAGAATTGTTTAAAATCGCAAACTTGACCTCGATTCTCAATGATACGACGGAACCATTCATTATACTGATACCACCTGAAAAACAATTTGCGAATCTCACGATAGCGGCAAAAGACCCCGAAAAATTATCACGGATTCTTTCTTCACATATCATCCCGGGCTCGATTGACATTGATCGAAAAGAGAAGAAAATGTTTACCACGTTATTAACCAGCAGCACAAAAATACAAATAAATTACGACATCTTGACCGGTAAACCTTATGTTGAGCTGCAAGGTTCCCTTAGCTTCTTCGAAGAACGCGCAAAAATTACTGCTGTCGGCAAGACATCGAATGGTGGCGGTGTATATCAGATCGATAAGATATTAACCAGAAATTCGACACAGCATTTTACTCGGGCTGGGTTAGGCGTGTTGATTGGATTGGGATTGATAGCGTTCTTTACGGGAGGAAGTGGCGTCGGAATATGGGGGTGGCAGAAATGGAAGAGTTGGGGATATACCCCAATTCAAGATGGTAATGCGGGGGCGGCTGAACGCGATTCTATTGATCCCGGTGATGCGGAACGCGGTGAAGTGCCTCCTGTTCAAGATGATAATGCGGGGGGCAGCTGAACGCGATTCTATTGATCCTGGTGATGCTGAACGCGGTATGTGGCTCCTGTTGGAACAAATGCTGCAAATTGATCCGAATAATTAATTTTAGTATTTGTCTTTTGATTCTAACCTGAAAACTTTTTTTTATCTCTATTAATTCGTGTTTATATGAACAATATTTATTAGTTTATCTGTATTCTTAGAATTTATCTTAATTGAATTGTATATATTTTATTAGTTGGATACGAATAATCCCGGTTCATTTGTTTTTTATAATCAAGTGATAATTTTTCAATTAAAATCACATTTATAATAATCATAATAATCGCTGAAGGAAAATGAGCACGTGAGATGTGATCTGAGGCAAGCATTGATGGTATAGTCACATTAATCTTTTAATTATCTCTGATTTTATTTATTTATTTTTGGAACTATTTATTGAAGTCTTGTATTTAGATTAATTATTATTAATTATCAATCACATTTACAAAGTACTTAATTGATTATTTTATTTGCAAAGCATAATAAATAAATTTCTTATTTTTACTAGAAATTAAAAAATGAGAACTTTAAAATAAATTGAAATTGATTTTTGAACTAATCTTAACATTTGTATATAATAATAATAAATCTTTATAGTTTTTGTATTATTCTGTAGGTTAAAAGAAACTTCTATATCAACGCACGGCATAAAAAATACCTATATCATTATTATCATCACTCATTATTTTTTGGTCTTTTAACTAAACCTGTAAATATGACACCTCAACTTTTTTCTATTTTCAAGGAACAAAACTATTATAATCCCTACCAATTAACTCTACAATTCTCTTCATTCTGAACCACAAAAGAGTGATGAAACGGAGTTTCTCTTTATATGAACGACATGAGCAACAGCCCGGAGGAGGAGGTAGTTGTGGCAATTGTAAGGAATGCATAGAGAGAGAACAAGAAAGAGAAAGAATGAGGTACCAAAATAATTACGGTTACATATTGGAAAGTGGAAACGGTGAAGCGATACAAACTTCTTCCGTGAAAGGAAAAGGACGATTGGAATTTGGTAATAATGAGATTAAAAACCAGACAAGTAACAATAATCCTACATCAATGACGACGAATTCTATTCTCAGTAACTATAACTACAACCCTCACCATAATTTCTCAACACCTTATACATCCATGTACACGCCTTCTTCGACTACGTCTGCCAATTTATTATATACAAACACGAATCTAAAAAGAAATCCGTCGCCTCAATACAATAAAGATAATATGATGCTAATATCGGATATCTCTGAAGAAAGGAAGTTTCCGTTTGAATCAATGTCAACATCATCACCAACATCAATTTCCCCGCACACACATTCTAATAATATGGACATTTTGTCGGCGACGAATATGATGAGTAATAATAACACAGGACGAACGAGGACGATCACCACCACGGCGACGAAAACGACGACGACAAATCTGTTTTTTGAGGAAGAAGAGGAGAATGATAACGGTGGATGGGAAGATGGTGATGAGATTGATAAAGCTGACTTTGATGCGGAAGAAGAAGAAGATGAATTAGAAGAAGGCGAATTGAGAATGGATGAGGAAGATTGTGACGAAGATGATGTTGATCCGTGGGAGTTGGAATGACGATCGGGAAGAATAGAAAAAACTTAAGATATCAACATGTATTATTTATTTATCTTTTATTTATAAGTTTTATTTATACACATTGTTTGAATTAATTATCTAGCAAGCAAATCTTGAGCTATACAGTATTTCAAAAAAAGGATTTTTTTGTATATAGCATATTAACGTTAGCACATTTATATATATCATATATATATATATATATCACCAATTTCTTTATCGCACAATCTATGGCGCGTTAAATTTAAATAAACAAATATTTGTTCTATTCTATATTTATTTTGTTCACTACATCTATCAAATAAAAAAAAAATTATTGTTCTATCGAATAAATTTTTTTTGTTGTTCTCTTCGCGCGTCTCAAACAGCCAAATCTCTGTATGAATCAGTAATGTAATTAAACACCACCAAACATTTTTGTTAAACACCGCCAACTATTTATTCTCATTAAACTCCTCATTGAAGATTTTCTTTACTTTTTGATAGACAAGTTCCGGTGAGTCCACACAAGAGATCGAATGCACCTTGCCTTGCCTCTGGTAATACTCAACGACGGGATAACTTTGTTGTTTGAACGTGATAAATCGTTTTCGTATGCTGTCGATGTTGTCGTCCACGCGACCACTGGTCTTTCCGCGATTTAGTAGTCTTTCAAGCATAACTTCCTCGGGACAATCGAAATAAAGTATCGAATGTGCTTCAACGACCTGATTTTATTATGTCAGAATATATAATGGACAAATAAGAAGACCATGATATGCCATAACGATGAGGATGATTGAAGAACTTACGTCTTCCTCAAATTTCATAGCTTGATCCATCTTTCTTGGGAATCCATCAATTAAGAAACGTTTGCCACCACTTTCTCGCATTGCTTGTTCAAGCAATGCAATGGTAATTTCCATTGGAACAATTTCTCCAGCCTTCATTAATCTATCAATTAAGTCGCCATATTTGGAGCCCGGTCTTTCTTTTTCAATACGAAGAAGATCTCCCGCTACATCAATATAAACAAGCAAAAAATTAATTTATTTAATCTCTGTGACTGCTTGTTTTTTGGAGAAAGGTTAATTAAATAAAAAGTAGAAACATATGCTTACCAGAGAGATGAATGAATCCAAAGTCCTTTACAAGATTTTCGCTTTGAGTGCCTTTGCCTGAACCAGGACCACCTGGATTAATGAATTATTTATTTAATTAGCGCATATTTTATCTATTGAATAGAATTAATTCAAACTTGAACCGAGATAACTTGCCTAAAACGAAGACCACCGTCACATCATCTTTCGAAAACTTTTTCGGTTCCGTCGAAACAGGCAGATCTTCATTCTTAAGTTCTTTCTTTTTATTCTTTGCTTGCTCCTCTACAATACACAACGAAACATTAAACGATCCCATTCAAAAAAGAAGAAAGCAAAAATAGAATATTATGTTCAGCTTTCTCCGAAAACACAATGATAATACTAATAATAAAACAAAAAATAACTTTAATGGCAGTCAAGAGGCGCGTGGAATAGTGTGTTACGTGTGCATGTTTTGGCAACAGCAAAAAAGCGCATATATAATATATACACGAGAAAACAGAAATGTATCCTATGCATAGCGTACTTCTTTATTCTCTTCACACCTCCATACCTCGAGTCCTGACCAGAACGAGGTAAAAAGAAACTCCGACCGAAGCCACGGCCAAAAGTGCAAGGGGATGCGGACCTTTTCTTGAACTTTTTGGTGGTGGAGGCGGGGGAGGTGTTTTCTCCTCTGTTACTCCCGCCACTGCACGACGTTTTAGAGACGTGGAGAAAAAGGTGCGCTTTGTAGTGTTGATAGTATTCGTAGTACTATTGACATCAAACGTAGAGCGCGAAGATGCAGGAATTCGTGCTTCGAATAGCGTACATTTTTTTCGTAGTAGTGTCTTAGTTGTGGTTGTAGTTGCCGTGATTGGTATAGAGCAGGTTGCAGAAAAATGAATTTTAGCTAATGGTTTTATCCGCGTTGCGCACGTACGAAGCATGATTTTGATTTTCTTTATTTCTCGGGAAAATAATCGAAATTTCAATGTGTCAAAGCGAAGTAGTAATTTACATAGAACAGTTCATACTGCAATGTTATCAATAATTTTAGGGTTGCACAGTTTCTCTGCTTTCCGCATCTATGATAACAAGATAATGTAGTCAATTGCGTTTTGCTTTCACATTTTTCTATTAACTTTTGTCCCTTCTGGTTTTCTAAACAGTCATGCCGCTATCTTTATTTACATGACATTTTCCCTTTATCGGTTTTTTTTTGTTTCCAGTTCTTGATAAAAATAAAAGTGTTGATCAATTGGTCTTGTTATAAAAATAAGCAGGATGTGCTGGGAAAGGAGATCTAGATGCATTGTATTTTCACTTCGTGAATTTCAAAAGTGGGATCGACATTAACGTTATGGTCTATCGGGAACACAACATTTAATAATATATAAATAAATAAATAATAAATAAATAAAATAAACGTGCTAAATTAATTGATTGATTGATTCTTACAATTGGTTTAAAATAAATAATTTGTTTTACCAGACACATGTACAAATTTTAATCAAATTCATGATTGGATTTTTCCGACATTGTATTATTGATTGATTTCACTTTGGAATATTTTTGATTCATGATTTTTTTTCCATAGCGGCTTTAAGAAGAATAGATCGGAGTTTCTAATGTATTTAGAATTTATAAAAGTTTGAGCAAAAATAGATATCATAATCCCAGCAGATTCAACTATTATCATCAATAAGTACCTGCAAATTAGTCAACTTTTCAACACTCACATTAGCCTCCTCAATCAGCGCTTTCAATTCCTCATCATCTCCCTCTCCTCCTATTCTTCCGCCGCCATCTTCTCCTACCACAGCACCGATCGGGACATCATTTTCAGAAGAAGAAGAAGAATGAGGATAATGTTGATGATGGGTTTTAACCCTCTTCCGACCATGTCCTCCTCCTTCTCCTACCTCATAATCATCTTTGTAATCTGATCTTTGACTATCCTTTCTTTTTTTCAATGTGCGTTCCACCATCATACTAGTCATTCGCTTGATAAACACCATTCGTTCATCACTATTTTGATCGTTGTTCTCGGTGAGTTTACCGTTGTCCACTTGATCATGTAGTTTAATGATCAGGTTTTTTACGGCGATTAGTTGATCGACTAGAAGTTTCACTGTCTCGGGTAGTGGGTATACTATTTTTATACCATCGATTGGTTAATGATAATTTAATGTGGCATCTGGCAAGAACAAGAAAAAAAAGCTTTATTACGGTTTTGTTCGACAGTCATCTCCTTTATGCACGATAATTGTTGAATGATCTTTTCTTGACGTGCCAGTTTTGCATTGGTTTTTCGAATATCTTGTCTCAATTTAAAATTGATAACTTTAGACTTTTTACATCGAATCATTGAAAATATCATAATTAGATCTTTTAGAATTTAGATATCGTGTAAGTATGCACTAAAAAAAAAAAAAAAATACCGCCAACAACTGCTTTCTCGTCACCTCCAATTCTTCGTCCAATTTCTCATCATAAGCCGCGTCAATGCTATAGTCCAATCCCTAATTGTTAGTTGCATCTCCGGGTGATTATTAACTTTTGAAAAACAAGGGGAGCGCCCAAGGCAAACAACTGCACGCGTGAATGCAGACAAACCTCTTGATGTGGTAACACGATCGATGACGACACGTCAGGTGGTATGGTAAAGATATTATTTAACGCGTATAATTCGAATATATCAAAATTCTTGTCGACTACATGTTCAAGTAACGTTATCACTTGATGCATTCCCTATAATATTTATCCCAAGACACCCGTTAATTGATCAAGTTCCATGTTAAAGCCAAAATTTTAAGGGGCAATGTGGAAAAAAAACGTGTCCTTTTCGAAGAAAAAAATAACACGTTACATTCTCGCATTCTTCAGGATCGCTAAGTCTATCGTCCACATACTTCTCAAATATGTCAGCTGCTTGATAAATTAGATCGTTTACCGCGTTTATTATGTCATCTATAAACGCAATTGGCACGAACCCGAAGTGCGTGGTTAGAAGCTCGGTGTTTGGCAGTGAATATTTGGACATTTGGGTAAAAATGAGTTCGTAAAGCACAAAACTAATTTTATGTCTCAAGTTTCTGATCTTTCCACGCGTTTTTAATATTAGATCCTCTCAGCCAATCAGGCTCAAAAATATCATACAGTATGCTAAATAAATAATACGTTGAAAAAAAATCTCTAATTCTCTTTCCATACACTCTCATTCTCGCTGCTACCACCATACACCTCTTTCTTCCAAATCGGCGCCTTCTCCTTCAACTGATCAATCAACCACTCGACAGCTTTCAACGATTCATGCCGATGCACACTGGACACAGCAATCACGACACTAGTCTCGCCGACCGGGACAGTGCCTATTCGATGATAGATGGCCACTTTGGTGAGTGACCATTGAGCGCGTGCGGACGTAATTAAATCGTTTATAACCTTTGTTGCCATCGGGATGTATGACACATAGTCTAGCCGAAGGACTTGTTTTTCTAGACAATTAATAGTATAATATAATCTAAATGATCTTTTGATATCTTTCGCTCGACTAATAAATATATTGGTTACCTTGAAATATGTTCCGTGTTGTTCCTGAAAAAGTTGATATCGCACCTGCGCCATCATCTTTTACCAAGTTAATGATTTCTTGAATATTCAATGGGTCGTTTGTCAATTTCACAAAATTTATTTCTGGCATTTGTCGCTGGTAATGCTGCCTAATTAGGAATATGTTAGAATTTGTTTGCCTAGCGCTAACGCTTTAAATTCGTGGGTTAATTGTCAGTTCTGGGCCAATTAAAAGTGTTTATTTAGATTTTCTTGACTTTCTTGGAAGTCTTACCGTTATAAGAGAGAGGGTGCTTTAAAGGTTTTCGAAGAGTCTTATATTATATAAATTCTAGTCATGGAGAACTCAAAGACTTTGGTGGTTGATAATGGGACAGGGGTGAGTCAAAACGCTGCTAAGCAGTTCGTACATACCTGGTAGAAATTAAATGAGCTGCAAGTGCCCAACTACTATTGATTAATGAAAACATAAATAACAAACCCAAACCTTGCAAGTTTGTAAAAGTAGGTTACGCCGGTTCAAACTTTCCCGAACATGTATTTCCGTCAGTGGTAGGTCGCCCAATTCTCCGGGCCGAAGAAAAAATCGGTAATATCAAGGTAAAAGATATCATGGTAGGCGACGAAGCCGCCAAAGTCCGTTCCATTCTACAGATGTCGTATCCGATGGAGAACGGGATTATCAAAAAATGGGAGGAGATGAAACACTTGTGGAATTACACGTTTTTCGAAAAGTTAAAGGTGGATCCGCGGGAATGTAAAATATTATTGACTGAGCCGCCGATGAATCCTTTAGCGAATCGACGTGAGATGGTGCGCACGATGTTTGAAGAATATGGGTTTCAGGGAGTGTATGTGTCTATTCAGGCTGTGTTGACGCTGTGTGCGCAGGGTAAGAAATAAAAATTTCACTATCTTAATTCTCGATATGAATTTCTTTTAATTTGTGCTGACAATGATGATGTTGATATTGTTATTATCATCAAAGGTCTTCTCACGGGTGTAGTTGTGGACTCGGGTGACGGAGTTACCCACATTGTTCCTATTTACGATGGATTTGCCCTCCCACATCAGACGCGTCGACTAGACGTCGCTGGTCGTGACGTTACGCGGTATCTTATAAAATTACTATTATTAAGAGGATATGCTTTTAATCGTACAGCAGATTTCGATACTGTTCAACAAATTAAAGAGAAACTTTGTTATGTAAGGTGCGTACTAACCACACGGTTATCTCTTTAGATCATTTTTTGATATATTGAATTATTTTGTTTTTTTACTTCAATAAAAGTTATGATTTAAAGTTGGATCAGAAATTGGCGAATGAGACCACCGTGCTAGTGGAAAATTATACGGTATAAAATTTTTTCATTTTGTTATTAATACCATTATTGATTTTAGCATTTTTATTTAAGACGTATATGCGCCATTTATTAGCTACCAGATGGACGTGTCATAAAAGTCGGTTCAGAACGATTTGAAGCACCCGAATGTATGTTCCAACCTCATTTAATTGATTGCGAACAACCAGGTGTAGCTGGTAATAACTAAATCAGATGATCTTCTTGGATTCTTCTTCTCTCGTTTTATAATTCTTAACATCTTCATCATTTTTGTCAATTTTTAAATGTTCATATTAGAACAGGTTTTTGAAGCGATTCTGGATGCAGCAGTCGATGTGCGTGCCGAATTGTTTCGACACATAGTGCTATCGGGTGGATCATCAATGTATCCCGGGCTACCGAGTCGACTCGAGAAAGAGCTTAAACAATTGTATATGGAGAGAGTGGCGCATGGGAATGTTGAGATCCTACAGGTACCACATACTTCTTTCCGCATCTCCTTACTTACTTAATTTCCCGTTGTTAATGTTGAAAAAACTATAAACATGAAATAATAGAAAATGAAAATTCGAATTGAAGACCCACCGCGTCGTAAGCACATGGTGTTCTTGGGTGGCGCAGTGTTAGCTAATATAATGAAAGATCGTGAAACATGGTGGATAACTAAACAGGAATGGGAAGAGGAGGGTATTAAAGCACTTGATAAACTTGGTGCGGGATATAATTAGGGTTATGTTTCTATATTTATTTGCTTTTAGCCAATTAATTTATTGATTCAAATTCGTTAAAATCAAAAAGTTTTGTAGCCGCTGATCTCTAATTATTATTTATTATAGATATAGAGAATAAAAATTTGTGCTTAATCTTAATGATATTTGAATGGTTAATTATTCCTTCCTTTGAAAATTTACGATTTTTAATGAATTACGATAAAGAAAAAGATCCATGTTATGAGATCGATGTTCTATTTTTAGAATCTAAATTTACCATTACCGTTACGCGGTCGTACACGATTAAAAAAATTTTGGATTAATGTATGATTAAAAAAAATGTCTGCGACAAACTTGTCAGGCCGTGTTGTATTGATGTTCGTTGGTTTTATGAGAATTAAGCGAATGAATTGATTTTTTATTAATTTAACAAATTGGAATGATTTTGATCTAATTTTTCTATCTAGCACCGGGGCGTCTGCTGGCATAGGAGCTGCCACAGCACAAGAATTTGCTAAATATGGTGCACATTTAATATCCTTCTTCATTATGAAATTAACCATTATATTGATACGCAAAGAATTCATTCAGCTATATATATATATATATATATTCTCTTACTACACATATAATTTATACATATTATTTGCAAGACGTTTGGAACGGTTGGAAGAGCTCAAATCAAATATTCGTAAGGAATATCCGTCAGTAGAGATCCACATCGCCGTTGTAGACATTCGGAATAAGAATGAAATTGATAACGCTGTGAAGGATTTGCCTGAAAAGTTCAAGGATATTGATGTGTTGGTGAATAATGTGTGTGTTTAAATTGCATAAATGGGCTTAGATCTGAAGCGAGATCACACATGATTCGATAAATATTAATCATATTTCTCTTAATATATGAGTTAGGCAGGCATAGCAATTGGATTTGACACAATAGAAAATCAAACGCAAGATAATATTCTTGCGGTATTAGAAACAAATATTAATGGGCTGATTTACATGACACAGGCTGTTTTACCAAGGATGAAAGAACGAAATTCCGGAGATATTATTAATATCGGAAGTATTTCTGGTAATGTATTTTATTGTGATGATCGATACTACAACGCCCAAAAAATATGAATTAATAGAAATATTATATTGGTTTAGGCACGCAGACACATCAATACGGAAATTCTATTTACGCAGGATCAAAGTATGCGGTCGAAGGAATTACAGAGTAAGAAACACGTGTAATTAGAATTCAAGAATCTGGTCGTTAATTTCTTGATCCTTTTGAAAGAAGAAATGCAGCGTCAAGTATCAGTTTTAATAATCAATTAGCGTTTAATTAGTTCAATTAGAAGAGAACTTGTGGCTACGAAAATACGCGTGATTATAATCCGACCAGGTAATCAACATATGTGATTTTTTATGTGGCAAAACAAATAGATTTAACAGGATGACCTTGTTATGTGTCATCGTTGATGTTTGATTTTATATTTAAAGGGGCGGTGAACACAGAGTTCACGGTACGCAGAGCCGGTGGTGATACCGATTTCAATAACACTTATTTTGCGGGGTATGAACCGCTTGTAGCGAAAGATATAGGTAAATAAATTGTTTAGTATCTCATAATTGATTTTCCTTTTTATTTTAAATATTAATTTAAATTGTTTTATTAGCTGAATGTGTCGTTTTCGCAGCCACCCGTCCAACAAACGTCGTGGTTGCGGAGATGTTTGTCCTGCCTACCGCGCAAGCTGATATCACGTTGTTCCATCGTGAAGGAAATGTTGGACCGTTAGCCAAGAGTGATAATAAGAATTAAATTATTACAGATAGTATAGAAATAGTTTGTTTTTATTCTATGAAATTTAATATTAATTGTTCCATTTTCAACAATCTATATTTGATATATGTGTGTGTGAATGATATGGATTAATTAGACGGTTAAAATTTTCTTAAATGTCGAAACAAAGACCAACTCACATTTCATTAATTTGTCTTTGTTTTAGAGTTGACAACGACGAAATGATGCACAAATATTAAGACGAATACGATGGCACCCAAGGTGTTGACCAACGTCATAAGCGTTGTGTCCTCAATCATTTTGCGTTGCAAGCTTTTATTTGATTGCAAATTTTGGGATAAGTAAATTTAGGAAGTAGGATTTTTATGTAGGATATTTAGAAATTACAAGTATTAAGAGTTACCTTTCATGAAGGAAAAAAATAGATTTTAACATTTCTCGTGTGACAAATATCGATGCGTGCATGATTTTTTTGATTTAATACACTTCTTTCAAAATAAATCCTCACAAGAAACCATTTTTCCAAGACTATTTCCATAATGTCAATTGTTGAAAAAATTGCCGAAAGTATGTCTCGAATTTTAGATCTATGTCCTCTGAATTGTACCGTTTTAACCACACGCTCTTTATCTTTCGCTTACAGTCGAGGCCGAAATGGCCCGCACGCAAAAGAACAAGGCCACCTCGTATCATTTGGGTACACTAAAAGCAAAGCTTGCAAAACTACGACGAGAATTAATTACTCCTTCAAGTGGTGGTGGATCTAGCGGAGGTATGTATGTGTTTCTGGGAATGTGTTTGATTCTATTGAAACTTATTAATTTCTTTTAATCGTTGAATCCATGAACGAAAAAGTGGGCTTTGATGTTGCTAAGACGGGAGTGGCTCGAATCGGGTTTGTTGGTATTGTCAAATTCGATTTATTCTTGTCTGGAAAGGATGAGCCTGACGTTTACTAAATTGTGACTTTTATAGGTTTTCCCTCGGTTGGAAAATCGACTCTTATGTCAAAATTAACGGGTACTTTTTCAGAAGTCGCCTCATATGAATTCACGACATTGACAACGGTGCCAGGTGTACTGCAATACAAGGGTGCCAAAATACAGATTCTAGATCTGCCGGGGATCATCGAAGGGGCAAAAGACGGAAAAGGACGTGGTCGTCAAGTCATAGCAGTAGCACGAACATGTTCATTAATTTACCTTGTTCTTGACGTACTAAAACCGCTGACACACAAGAAACTCATTGAAAAAGAATTAGAAGGATTTGGCATCCGATTGAACAAGAAACCGCCAAACATCTATTTCAAAAAGAAGGAAAAAGGCGGGATTAATATGACAAACACCGTTCCGCTTACACATTTGGATCTGGAGCAGGTAAAAGCGGTGTTGAGTGAATACCGGATTCATAATGCGGACGTGACCTTTAAGTGTGACGCTACCGTTGATGATTTAATTGACGTTATTGAGGGAAGGGTGTACATTCCGGCTATTTATGTGCTTAACAAGGTAAGAATTGGGACCACTACTGGTGTGAATTTTATTTCTTTGCTCGCGGTAATAATGATCATTTTTGGATTCAATAGATTGATCAGATTAGTATTGAAGAACTGGATATGATTTACAAGATTCCTCATGCAATACCAATCTCGGCTCATCATGTAGGTAAAGCTTAGCATCATATTACTTTAGATATCATCGATTAACTAATGTTGCTCATTATAAAAATAGGAATGGAATTTTGATGAATTACTGGAAAAGATGTGGGAATATCTTAATCTTGTGAGAATGTAATTAATTTTTTGATTATTACGTTATGCAATTAATTCGTTTCATTAATTTATTTATTGTTCTTGGACAATGAATAGTTATACAAAACCAAAGGGCCAATTACCAGATTATAGTGCTCCGGTAGTGTTACGTGAAAACCAACAAACAATCGAAGATTTCTGTAATAGTATTCATAAAGGAATTGCCAAGGAGTTTAAATAGTAAGTGTATTCTTTTTTTGAAACAATCAATAATAATATTTTGACGATGTCGTTTTGATCATTTATCATTTTTTTCTGTACGTAGCGCTCTTGTTTGGGGAAGTTCCGCTAAACATCAGCCACAGAAGGTTGGGTTAACGCATGTCTTGCAAGATGAGGATGTGGTGCAACTTGTTAAATCCGGATGATAATCGTGATCAAATGGTTTATCTAATAAATAATTTTGGTTTGATTAAAAGATGATAAAAGTCGGATATTTTTATCGACTAAAATCCATATATTAATAGTAAAATAGTATATAGCAATAGTGATCCCAAAATTTTAAAAAATGAATTTATTATTCTATAAATAAGTACATGTAATGAAATAATAGAAAATTTTTGCGCCATAAAATGAATTTTGCCAAAATCGGTATCTTGTGAAATATTACAAATTTTAATTTACTTCCCCTCTTTTGAATTTTTTGTCATAGACGACGACTCTCTTTAACACAAGAATCCTTGTTTTTCATTACGTGTGATTTAATTTAATATAATTTTATTTTATAAAGAACAACGCGACTAACAAATAAAAAACGATGGCAAAGCCAGAGCCAAACACCAAAGAATACAAACTCTTAATAGGCGATGAAGACGAAGTCGTCAACATCACCAACATCAATGACAGTTTTCCAGAGAAAAGAACCTCACCGATAATAACCAAAAGCATCAAAAAACCCGGACTCTTGACGATACTAGCAAACACGGGCGCTCTGCCCATACTGAGTTATTGTGGCGCGAGCATCTTGATGACCGTGACGAACAAATATGTGTTGTCTGGGTATGATTTTAACATGAATTTTTTGTTGTTGACTATTCAGGTAAGGTTCTTGCTTTTCTATGGGTGCAATAGACATACTACTGCGCTATTTAATTTGATCAACGTCATGTAAATCAATCAGATTTTTTTACTTTGTTTTTAAAGTCGATTGTATGCGTTGCCCTTCTTCACGGATTCAAAGCCTTCAAATTGATAAATTTCCGAGAAATTGAATCACATATTTCGAAAAAATGTGAGTGTATTTTTATCTTTCCTTAACTTCAATAAAGATCATCAATTCAATAATTATAATGATCAATGTATTAATGATAGGGCTTCCCATTGTCGTTCTTTTGATTGCAATGATTTATACCGGAAGCAAAAGGTAAAAAGTTTTCAGATCTTTTTAAAATCTCTTGCTTTCATTTTTCATTTCTCGTTATTGACATCATTTTATAAAGTTTACAATATCTGTCAATACCGGTATACACAATCTTCAAAAATCTAACGATTATTTTAATTGCGTATGGGGAAATGCTGTGGTTTGGAGGATCGGTTACTCGACTCATGATTACGAGTTTTTTATTAATGGTAGGCATATATAGAAAATGACCGATTCATTCCTCTTCCCTCGTACATTTCTCTAATATCCGTTCGATTCGTTAGATTCTCTCTTCAATTATCGCCGCATGGGCAGACATAAGTTACGCGTTAGAAACAGCGACATCCCAAGTCTCGACAATAAACATCGGATACTTTTGGATGGGCACAAACTGTCTGGCGACCGCTTCATTCACACTAACAATGCGGAAACGAATCACGTTGACGGGATTCAAAGATTTCGATACGGTCTATTATAATAATTTGTTGTCGATACCGCTGTTGGTTGTGATGAGTTTCTTACTTGAAGATTGGAGTGCAGAAAATTTACAACACAACTTGTATGAATTTGATTCGATCTGTAGTGAGATTTAGCTCCTTGTTTTTTTGCAAGAAAAATTAAGTAATCGTATTTTTTTCTATTATCATTATTGGTGCGCATGACGACAATCCATTAAAGCCCCCCGGAAATTCGAAATCCACTTATAATAGCGATGCTTTTTTCGGGAGTCTCAGCATTCGGTATCTCATACTCATCAGCATGGTGTATTCGAGTGACCAGCAGTACAACCTACAGTATGGTTGGTGCATTAAATAAATTACCAATCGCTATTAGTGGCATGATATTTTTCGGGGATCCGATCACTTTTGGAAACGTGTCTGCTGTGTGTGTTGGTACGTGTTTCTCGCTTGGTTTTGGATTGATAATTTTCTTTTGCTTGGATTGGAAATGATTAATCTATTCTCTTTAAACATATAATATCAAAGGTTTTATCGCTGGTATTGTGTATACTGTGGCAAAATCCGATCAGAAAAAGGGCGGCGCATCGCGACATCAAACTGGTTATTTGCCAATGTCGGCGAGTAGTCATAGCATGCGTGAGGCAAATCTTGCACAAAAGAGTGGGAAAGAGGAAGCGCCTTAACAATAAAGAATATTATTTATTATTATTGCTCCTTATATAGTATTGATAATGATGCGATATATTTTTTAGGATGGAGGATTTACGTAGCAACAAAAAGTTGGAAGTTATAGGGAACTTTACGGTAAATTAAAATTATTTATTTATTACAATTAATGGTTACTAGTGGCATAATAGTTAATACTTTCACAGTAAACTACAATAATAATATAATAATAATAATAATAAACATGACTCAAATTTGTATTGTCAACCAGAAGATTATTATAATCACTCTTTAATGATAACTTGAAAAGAAAAAATATTAACAATGAAATGAAATAGAAGTTGAAAGTAAAGCAAAAAATTGGTCCCCCAGAGCAAAAAAATAAAGATAAAATTTAAACTAAATTCGAGGATTTCTTCGAGAAAAGGCAAAAAAATTTACATTTGTTCTTTTTCAACTTCAAATGATATTTACTAAGTAAAAGAATCATTAAATTTATATAAATAAAACAATCCCAACACTCAAAAATCCTGTTTTTACATAATTATAGTCATTTATCCCTTATTTATTGAATAAACAATCCGTTATTCATCACCCGGAGCTTCCCCTGGAGCAGTAGTTACACCATTTTCTTCATCTCCACCTTTTTCTGCAGACGTTGCACTCGGTTCTCCAGCAGTGGCCTTTTTCTTCTTATTTTTCTTTTTAGGTCTCAAATTCGTCGCCAGCAATTTTATAATCTCTTCATCTTCCAGTTTCTTATCGCTCTTGATCACGTCTGGGTCGTATAGTGTGTTGGTGATTCGGAGAGGTCCATTCTTTGTCAAGATGATTGTGAAAAAGAATTGTGCTACATATTCGTCTGTTGTATCGTTGACACCATAATTATCATTGTTATTGATAAAGCATAATTAATTATATAGCAAAATTAAGAAAAAAAGACGACCAAAAAAATACCTTCTTTCTCCTGATACACATGGTACGATGACACCAAATCATGAGTAGCACATTCCTGTATACCCAAACGCGCTTTTTTCTCATCTGGTAATGAACTTAACGGAAATGGAAACGATCCAAACTTCGTGCGGATTTCATTTAACACCTCACGTGAGGTTTTCATCTTTAGCGAATATGTGGTGTCAGTCTTTTTGTAGACTGTAGTGCGTACATGAGAGTTCTTTGGCTAAATTATCATATTTATTATTTTGATCACAATCATATTCATCATCATATATAATAAAATCAGCGAGATGATTATTATTATTATTATTGAACAAATGACATAGTGATGTGATAATCGAATCTGATATATGAGAACTAACAAACTAACCTTGCCTTCGCCCGTAGAGATTAATATATCTACGCCGTAGACTTCATTCTCGGCAAATTCTATCTTCTCGAATTCGCGTTTCTGGCCCTCATTAGGGTTAAGGATTATTTGTTTCTTTCCTTCAATCTCATTTTTTTCTAGTTGGTGCGATAACATACCTATTCACAGTTCGTCCATACCCATACATAATTAGAATACAATACCCAAAAAAAAACATTTAATAGAAAAACTTTGTAAATTTTACCTTCAAGGGAATTAGTATCAAACTCCCTTGCAATCTTTTGTATCGTTTCGGTAACTGCCATATTTGGCAGACCAGGTTTAATCAATCTGGCCGCCGCCTCAGCAGCTAAATGTGCCGCAGTTATCACATCTGCCTTGCGTCCGGTGACTGGATTTTCTTTTGTCGCCCCGACAACAAAGGTCGTGGCCGTGATTGCTGCATACCCGTCAATATGAGAGCCTAGCTGAATTTTCACGAGGTCGCCATTCTTTAACGTTGCTGCGGCCTCGGGATCAGATGGCAGTGGTGAAAAATGGCATATAATGTTGTTTACTGATACACATGTGGGAAAACCAATTCCTTCAAGCATATAAAAGAGACGGTGTTTCGTTTTTTCGTTAATTAATTAAGATAAATAAAACCGTGTTTGCATCTCATTGAGTTAATATAATCACCTTTGGGAATTTTCTGTTTCACGAAGAGCACTTTGACGCTATCTTCAATTTCTTTATCACCCAACTTACAAAGGTCAATTATTTTTGCACCGTCTACAGCAGCGCTAACCACTTTCTTAAGAACGCCTGGATAATCGGATTTTGATAGGAAAATAACAAATGCAGCATTTGATATGTATAAAGAGAAAAGCAAAACGTCAGAATAAGTATCCCATTTTCTAAATGCAACGCAGCCTTCATGAATTACATGAGACCTCCGAAAAAACGATTTCAAGGAGAGACAGAGAGAGAACCCGAGCTCAAGAACGAAAATTCTCCTTTCGTGTTTGTCCTTGTTTTAACGAAGATCAACGCAAAACTTTTACGTACGATTTGAAATCTCGGCTGCTATAGTGTATTTGTTTAAGACCTCTTGATTTTCAGGTGTGAGCGGTTCTGCGGTGTTGTTCTTGTCCCCCATGCTTTTTTGATTAGTTAGTTAACTTCTTATAAATATCTGGTGTGAGAATTTTTTTTAGCATACATATTCTAAATAATATGACGTCACGTAAAATTAATTTAAACATCTAAATTCAGACTCGTTTCTAGGTCTATAAAAATGGCGTCAAAAGAACTACGTAGATTAGGTGAACGTCAAAAAATGACATTTACTGTTTTTCAAGATGGAACTATTTCTTGATTGTCTCCACTTTTTATACAGTTTTTGTCACGGGAAACAAGAATAAACTCGCCGAGGTTCAAGCAATTCTTGGAACCTCTGTTAATTTGGTTGACCACAAGCTTGATTGTAGGCTCTTATCGTTCTTGAGTTGCACTTGTTCCTTGTTTCTCTCTATACCAAGATATTTTGTGCTTATTAATAAAATCGATAGTGTCTGAAATCCAAGGGAACACACGTGAAGTTGCTTCTGATAAATGCCAAAGGGCAGCCAAGGAAGTAAGAGACGCGAGCCAAAAAAAGATAATTCTCTGAATCATACACTATAGCATTTCGTTAATTGTAAATTCTAATTTTGTAAAAAGATAAATGGATCAGTCATTACGGAAGACACAGCTTTATGTTTCAACGCGTTGGGTGGTCTTCCTGGACCTTACATGTTTGTTGTTTTTTTATAATGAAACACGTAATACTATACGAATACTTATTAAGAGGATTTAATATTGCAGAAAATGGTTTTTAGAGAAATTAGGACATGATGGTGAGGTTAACTTATTTTGCATATTCTGGCAAAATTTCTATTATTTAACTTGACATTAATTATCCATTTCAAAGGTTTAAATCGTATGCTGGCGGGATTCGATGATAAATCTGCATACGCTTTATGCACATTTGCCTATTCTCGAGGACCTGATACAGAACCAATCCTTTTCGAAGGAATAACTCACGTAACTTCTTATTATTTTTCATTTTTGTGAAAATCATCAACGTTAAAAAATATGGTAATTATTAACAAAAATCTATAGGGAACGATTGTTCCTCCGCGTGGTCCTAATAATTTTGGGTGGGACCCGATATTTCAACCAGATAGCTATGAATTAACGTGAATTTAATTAATATCATTGTGTTTATAAGTTCGAAAGGTACTTTTTCTTTTTGCTGATACTTTCTGTTGTTTTTTAGATACGCCGAAATGGCTAAAGATATAAAAAATACCATTTCTCATCGGTACAAGGCCTTAGAGAAATTGAAAGAGTTTCTCAATTCTAATTCAGATTGAAATCCTGTTTCTCTATGCGCGATAATTTTTAAATGAAATTACATAGATTTTGGCTCGAGATCTAGATTTTAGCTATAAACAAAACAAAAAGATGAAATATGTCTTAATGTGAATATACTATACTACATTTTATCAAGACTGTTAATCCTGTATAGATGCAGCAGCATTCATCTGTCCGCGCCTCATCAAATTTCTTCTAACACGTTGCGCAGCGTGTCCAGCGCCACCACCAACATCCAAACTCAAATAAGGCACCTTTTTCCATGGAACCCGGTATAGTCCAACAGAAGTTTTGGAAGTTTCGTCAATACTTACACAAACCGGTAGCTCTAAAGAACCTTTTACAATTCCGTTGACTCGTTTCAATATCGAGATAGAGAGCGGAGTTAAAATGTGGAATGTGTGAGTTGACGGATCGATTGAGCGTATTATGGCTAATCCGAAGCAAGTGTGATGTGCCGGAGGAGGTGGTGGAAATTTTGGAGATGGAAAATAAGGTGGTGGAATCTGTTTTCGTATATAAATTAGAAAATAAAATATAAATTATTGCATGAATCGAAAGCAAGAGCGTATGTCTACTTACGATTTTTGAGGAACCTGTTTGATTATTATTACTATTATCCTCTTGAATCAAGTAATTGTCATTACCCTCATATTCCATTTCATCTTCCTCAACTTCGAAGTCACCAATTAATCCAACAATTGAACCATTCAAAGCATATAACAGTTGACTATATGGGACTTCCGCACAAAGCGTAAACACTCCTTTTGATAACCCCTTAGTCCAATCCAAGCACCATGGAACCTGCTGCACAAGTGGTATATCGAAATTCCACCACCCCTGATCAAATCCTTGCTGTGATATTAATTGTTTAGAAAAAGATTGAACTGAATAAAAATACGAAATTAGCATGAGGGTTCGTTGATCTCGTGCAGTGAATCTTGCAGGATTTGGACTAAAGAGGATTGAATCCACATAGTATAGTTTCGGAAAAGGTCTGTCCTCGGGGTGGAGAACGTTGGATGGAAGAGTGGGCGGGTTTAGATATGGGTTGGTAAGAGATTGGAATTGGCAGAGATGAGTTGGTTTTGCAAAGTTGTGGAGTTGTAGAAATAGATCATATCCTAATCCTATATGTTGAAAATAATGTGTTAGACAATGGCATTTCAAAAAATTCTATATACACGATTGACAATTCAAAAAAAAAAAGAAAACAATAAACACCTTTGACCCAACCATGAGTGTTTATGATCAATGGGATTTTATTTTTATTACTATTACTTTTGATATTATCATATCCCGATGAATCTACAAAATCACGTCTAAACACTGCGACCAATTCTTGGAGACAAGCTAAATAGTAATCAGGATCGTCACGCGGATTGGTATGACCAATTAAATATGATCTATAAGGTAGTTTAGGGTGCGTAAATGGTGGTCCTAAAATAAAAACCGGGATTCTATTATGCTTGATATTGATTTTTTTCGAAATTCTTTTTTTTTAAATTATAAATACCGAAAATCGGAGAATCTACTATGCTTAATGAAACAATTCCTGATGGGGTGAATTCCGGTTGTCCAATGTCGCTCTCGATGTACGCTATTCTTGGATGCCTAAATATTTAAGCGATTTATTTAGTTTCTTTTCTTTTTACCTCACTCCAAGTTAAATATCATGAATACCTATTTAACAGTGTATTTATAAGAAATTTTGAGAAGGTGGATTTCCCCACTTTTTTATGCCCGAATAAAATTATGACAGGAAACGCTCGTCCATCTTGATAAAAATATACGAAATAAAAAATGCATGGTTAAGAAAATTATTTAAAAATTCATAAAAATTGATAAATACCCGTAATATTATTGTCAAGAGATTCTATTAATATTTGATTAGCAGTTGCCATCCATGAATCAGGAAAATGAAGACCGATGATTCCCGGCATTGGTTCTAAAATCTATTTTTTATAGTTTATAAGACTTATAATATTATTAACAAATAAAAACTATAATCAATGCATACCGGATAAAATCCTGGGATACTGAAAGCATCGGTTTTGTCAAAAGTCATGTTGTCAGTATTCCTTGTCCGATCCTTCGAAAAAATATTTTTGAATATTGAAGTGCGTTCAACGCCATCAATTCCACACCAAGACATTTCGCAAAAAGCGACGATAGAGTCGAAGGCAACACATTCCGAAATAAGATTTATTAAAAGTTCATTGATGGTTGTCTTGAGAGCGTTTGAAGCTTTAATTCCCCCATTCGACATTTTGTAAGATGGCAATTCAGTAGCGATTGATTCTACCGTCATAGATTTAATAACTATAAGACCATGCGTCTTTGGTGAAAAAACTGGCCAAAAAGTTAATTCATCCTCAGAATCAATCTTTTTTTGTGAAATCTTTCTTGCATTGTGATTTTGTTGGTGGTGATGGATGGTCTCTGATGAATATATACCCCGCAAACGATGGCCCATAATAGTAACTTGTCCAAATAAAGGAGCTACCAAAACGTAGCCCTGGAAACAAATCGTCTACATATTTTATTTTATGATTTAGTGAGACTTGAATTGTTTGTGACTCTACTTGATAATGAACACGTCATACGTATTAGTATGTATATAACCTCTTCTGCTTTCATTGCAACTAGGCAAACGCGTTCGTGAGTATTACTGTTCACAGTAGAAGAATGAAATACATTTGACGAGTTCGGTGAGAAATTTGATATTGCATTGGGATCTATGGTATTAATGGTGCTAAATATATGCAATACAAGAAATCTCTTGAGTTTTAATAAGATTTTGATTATTCTTTTGTTAGTATTATTCTTAAGAAATACCTTTTAATCGGACGATCTATCTTCTCATTAACTTTAAAATCATCCGTCATTATTATGTTCTGAGTCTTATCAACGTCATCATCCTCTTCTGATTTCAACTCATTTCCAACCATATTACTTTCAATGCTTTCCTGATCACTATTATCGATTTCATCATCATAATTAGCTTCGGATAGCATCTCCAAATTTTTGTAAGGGTGCTTATTTAAAGCAACGTCCAGTGAATTATTATCATTCTTAGAAAATTCATGGATCAACGTTTGATTTGTGTTCGAATCTGGTGTAGAGTGTGATGTGGTTGCGGTGATTGGAACGGTTGTTGTTGATACAAGCTTTTCACTGTATTATTTCATGCGATTATTGTTATCAATAGTTCAATATGAAAATGTATTTTCTTTAAAATTTACCTCAAATCTTTTGTAACTTTATTGTCGTTATTGAAAATTTCTAAATTATGACGGGCGCCTTTTTTATTTTTAGGCTTGTTATTCTGTGTTGTATTTCTAATTACAGTTTTTGAATCATTTGATATTACTACAGTTTAGAAAAATAACATTACAAGATGAAAAATCGAAATTTTTCCAATATAAATTAGAATTCAAGATTAACCTGAAGGATCAGATAACGTTCCCTTTTGTCTTTTCCTTTTCAACGACATTGCTTGCCGACACGAAGCTTGTTTTTTTTAAATCTTTCGACTAGATCGAGATTTATGCATTAATGCAGATCTTTGTTGGTTCATATTCGAATTTTAAAAATAATCAGTCTAAAAGCAAAGGCCCTCCACTACAGATTTGTCATTTTCACAAAACAAACCAAAAATAACCAAAAATGCCGCCAAAAAAGAACACTCAATCCAACAAATCCAAGGAGAAAGAGAAACAAAAAGTGATTGAGGACAAGACCTTTGGTCTAAAGAACAAGAAGAAATCTGCAAAGGTTCAACAGCAAATCAAGCAGATTCAAACACAAGTAATGGCAGCTGGGGATAGGAAGGCAAAGGTAAATATCCTTCATAATTAGCGTTAAAGAAGTCCGAACAAAAGAGTGCTCGAGCATATCCATTGGGAAACATAAAAATAGATTTCACTCAACTTTCTTTGGACTTATTTACACATACGCATAACAAAAACAGAAAGAACAAGACGCCGCGAAACAAGCTCTCGCCGAAAAGAAAGCTGCCGAACAAAAAAAGAAAGAGGAGCTTGCGGAACTCTTCAAACCTGTTCAGACGCAAAAAGTTCCGTTTGGTGTTGACCCGAAAACTGTTCTTTGCGCGTTTTTCAAAGCCGGGCAGTGTCAGAAGGGTGATAAGTGCAAATTTTCGCACGATTTGGATATTGAGCGAAAGACTACAAAAATTGATTTGTACACTGACGTGAGAGAGGATGAAAAGTCACAAGGTAATTTATATCTACATATTGCCATCAAGAGCGAAATGTAAAATTCTATTAATAATGATGATAAAATAGATACGATGGACAAATGGGATCAATCGAAGCTTGAACAAGTCGTACTTTCTAAACATGGAAATCCGAAAACTACCACCGACATTGTTTGCAAATACTTCTTGGAGGCGATCGAGAACCAGAAGTATGGTTGGTTTTGGGAATGTCCGAATGGAGGTAATTCGAAATTTCATTTTTTTGTCTTGTATTTGAGATATATTCCTTTTTCTTGTATTAATTCGCAATAAAATTTATTCTAAGGTAAAAATTGCAAGTATAGGCATGCTCTGCCACCTGGCTTCGTCTTAAAAACAAAAGCTCAAAAGAAAGCAGAAGCAGAGGAAGAAGATCAGATAACACTCGAGGAATTCTTAGAAACAGAAGTAAATAATATTCTCTTCAATTATCGCTTAATATGTTTTAAAAAGTTTCACTCATAAATATCATTTTGTATTCAGCGTCATAAACTAGGCTCGAATCTCACACCCGTAACACTCGAAACATTCACCGAATGGAAAAAGAATCGTAAAGCGAAAATAGAGGCAGAAGCCGAAGCTAAACGGAAAGCCAAGGAGGCAGCATTCAAAGCCGGGAAAGGACTTGGTATGTCTGGACGTGATCTGTTCACATTTAATCCGGAACTTGTTAACCAAGGAGACGACTATGATGATGGAGAAGATGTGTTTGACATTTCGGGATATAAACATGATAATGAAGATAATGAAGACAATGATAATAATAGTAACGGTGGTATTAAAGATGTGCCATCATCTTCATTAGCATCATCTCATGAGAAATATGAGGGAAATCCATATGGTGAAGGCAGCAGTAGTAATAGCAGTAATAGTAAAACGAACAATGGTATAAGTGATGTTGAAGTTAAAGAGGATTTGTTCGAGGCCGAAAATTTGGATGATTTAGAGGATGATGATGACGAGTAATCTATCTATGTGTGGGTGGGTTAGTCAGGGTGGGGTTGGGTTAGTCCGTGTGTGGCGGATCTTGCCTTACAGGAGTGAATGCCTCCTCCCGTATTACATAATCACAAAGCAAAGTTTAAGAACGTTGATAATTTTGCATAATATTTATTTAAATCAGCATGTCAAATAATATATTAATTAATTATTAAAATGTACAGTCATTCAAATTATTGCGCCACGAGGCATTTATGAAAAATTCTCTAGATGAATCCTATAATTGATCTTAATTAAGTGATCCATCTTTTATGTCGATTCCAGGATACGCAGGTGGTGGGTCGTCTGAAATAAGTGTGTTAGTATCAATCCTTTTGAACGGTAGAGGAGAAATTTCATGTTTTTTCATGTAGCTCAAGAATTGATTTGGTATTTCTTCTAGAACAGCTTTCGGGAGGAGATGATGCGAAGCGAATGATTCGAATTCGCGCATTGCTACAAATTGGACGATGTCTCGTTCGGCTTTTACGCCGTTTGCCTGTTTTAGTGGTAGTATTTATTAATACATGCAGTAGTATATTAATAATAGTAACAGTCGGTGTACTTCGAATTTTTTGAATTATAAGGCACAAATTACCTGCAAAGCTTGATGATCTGCGTCTAAAATATTCATCTTAGTAAAGTCGGCTTTTCCAACACCCACAATCACAATAGAAAATGGAAGCGAACTTGCATTGATAATAGTTCTCACGGTAGAATCCATATCTTAAAATCTCACGCATTAATTAATAGTCAAGAAAATAATCATCAAAGGTAACACAAAAAATACCTAATATAATCCCATCTACGCGTTTATAAAAAAATCAATGTTTCTTTAGTCATGTTGATTATTAATAAATAACCAGCACCGGAATGCCTGTTAATTAACGCGTACCTGTTATAATCAGCAAAATATAATAAACATTGTCTCGTCCAGATTCGAGATTTTGGCGAATTTTAGCTGCAGTTTGATTTATGATCTATGATGATAGATTTTTAATAATAGATTGACTCAAAAAAAAATTAAATCAAGATCAAATTTCGGTACCGGAGCAAAATTCGTTGGACCATACAATTTCACATGGCGTATAGTATGTAGATATGCTGCTAAAATACCTTCGACGCCTTCAACTTCTGGCTAAAAATGAAAAAATACTAAACTCTCTATTACCTACATAAGATTTTTTGGCAGAAATAATAATATTGAATGTACTTCACTTTTTCATAATCGCCATTCAAAGGATAAGCATGTGATAGCACCCCGCTGAATTTACCTCCAAATCCATATACCTAATAAAATATATATCTGACATAAATTATATTTTTCAAGACAAAAATAATGCAAAATATACTTACTGGGAACCTTTTGTCATGATCATAAGCTTGTACTATATATAAAAATCAGCATGCCTCAATCTATAATTCTGAGCCCTAACAAAATCAAAAAAAAAACACTCACAAATAGTTCCCACACTTCTAATTGCTTTCTGATAGTCATTATCGTCTTTTCCACCAATATAGTGCAACGAATTGACATCATTCGGTGACCCATTCGACTCCGTGAAATCAATCCCGACCACTAAATTAATTTCAGTTCCACTACTAATATAATCCAAAAAACTGGCTTCTTCCCGCACCGAGCACTCTATTACGCGAATGTACGGTTGGTCTTTGAAAGATTTTTCTTTCATGTCCCCGGATGCGTTTATGCGCGAGAGATGAAATGTTTTATTATTGGTGGTTGTTGCTAGCGATAAGAGTTCACGTAGAGTTATTGTTGACTTGGCTATTAATTGATGTTCTACCGACGATAGCACACACTGTGTCAGCATAATGATTAATAAGCTCAATTTTTGATTCACCTTAAAATAATAATTGTTCTTTATTTACAACAAAATAGAGAATTATTACAGACATACCGCCATTCTTTTTATGTTGCTTTATCAGAATTTCTAATCCTCTGTCTCGATCACCATTACACAATGTAGATTCTTTGACTAAAATTCAATGTGAAATTAAACAAATTAAAAAAATTTATATTTTTTGTTGGTATTGAATTTGTAAATAACTTACTTGAAAATCCAGGCCAAAACGGGTTCGATGAGTTTATTTTGATGCTCTCATAAACGGGGGAAAAAGTACCATCTTCATTAGCACGACTGATTATAAAAAATATTCCGAGTTTCGGTCTGAAAAGACCACTCTATAGAATTAAACCATAAAAATATTTGCTAAATCACCATCAATGCAAAAGATTCTTTTTTTATTCACTAACCTTTTTGATAACATTGTATGCTTGAAATTGCAAACTGCAAATATTTTTAAAATAAATTACAAATTAGAATTTCATCATTCATAAAATCAAAAAAAAAATATACTGAGCTTACATGATAATTTTCTTGGTATTCGACACCTCTTCACCAGATATAACCATAGATCCACGATTTTTGCTCGGATGTTTTGAATCTCTCAATTTGCCGACTATTTTATTATACTGGCTACCGACTATTCTCATTTAGTTTAGTTATGAAAACAGAATTTTTTCAAAACTCAGTTCAACATTTACCAATGGTTCCTAGATCAGTATCAAAAGATCCTACATATTCTTGTACTTTCCAATCCGGATTATCGTGTTTATCAACATCCACGACACTGAATCTATTAGTAACCGACGAATGAAAATCGAGAAAACTCTAACTAAGCAACTTCCCGTAAATTATTCTAATATAATTACCTCAACTTTTGCAACATTTCAAAATAATAATCCAACACAAAGCTCTTAACAAATCTAGGATTAAGATTATTCATAACGACTTCAGTCCTTTGCCCCGAATCAACCCATTGCATTGTATTCGAATCTAGCACGAAAAGCACGACCTGCGGGTCACTTTTCGATAAATAGTCCAAATCTGGTAAATTTCTGCATGAGAGTTTGAGTTCTACTTGTGAATGAGCATTCATGTTGAATATATTTTCCAACAACAAAAATTTTACCAGTTGGAATAACTAACTTTTATAGGTTAAAAATATAATGATTTATAATAGTCTTTATATCGATATAATGAAAATAACAATAGTATTTATGCAATAATGCTAATAGCATTTTCAAATCATATAATGATTTATAGCTCATGTATAATGGTCTTTTTTTAGTATAATGATTTATAATGGTTTTTATATCGATATAATGAAAATAACAATAGTATTTATTTTACAATTTGCAATAATGCTAATAGCATTTTCAAAGTTCCCGTTAAACGGAACAAAATGTTCTCATTTTAAAAACGATAATTTGTAACTTCATGAAATATAACCACTACGAACATAATCGCATTTCTTTTCTTTTTTCGCGTCATTTTTGTCAGAAATGTCGAATTCTAAACAAGACTTCTCGTATTTACAAGTTTACCCACTGAACTAAAAAAAACCTCGAAGAATAAAGTTACTGGTGGAATTTAAATACTTCCCGCAGCATATTATTACCAGTGTTATCCGGTGGACCTTCTTCTGGATAAACTGTGAGACTGTACGATCACGAGGATTGTTTGGATAATATAAAAAAAAATTATTTCTTTGATGCAATTAAAATACTTAAATTTTGGTGATTATCTACTAAAATATTATTATAATCTGAAAATTTCTTTTAATAGCACAAGAAGAAATAGGTAATCAAATATAATCTAAAGTATAGTAATATAAATTTCTTTAATTTTACAACAGATCATGTTAATTTATTAGATTATTTTCTTAATTTTTAATTTTAGTATTATTGTTATAAATTTCATTTATTACATTTATTATTAATTTTAAATATCAATTTTGATTAGAACAAAATTAAATAATTTTTTAAGTTATTTTTAATAATATATTTGAAAATAAAAATAATTGAAGCTAATAAAGAATAGTTCTTGAAGTATCATTATTTTAAAAATAATATTTCAAGATAATATTATTAAAAAATTCAGAAATATAATGATATTTGATTTATTTAAAAGAAATTACTTTTATAAAAAGATATTTTTGCTTGTTAAATATATTTTTTGCTTGTTAAATATATTTATTAATTATTACAAAAATTTAAACTTCAAAAAATATAATTTTCAAAGAATTATCTATTATAATTTATATATTTTTAAAGAAAAAGAAATTAAAAAAATTTTAAAAATAATTTTATTAAAGCTTAATATTTTTAAAAAAATCAAATATAATCAAATCTCTTTATAATTATTATACTTGAAAAAGCAAAATTAAATAATTAAAAAGAAATATGATTATAAAGAAATTTTTTTAATTATAGTTAATTAGTAACTAGAAAACTTAAAAAAGATAACTATTAAAAAAGATAACTATAGAAAGATGTAATTATAAAGAGATCTAATTATATTATAATAATAATATAAATTTTTTTTAATTTTATAATTTTTAAAAATTAAGATTTTTAATTAATTAATATTTTTTAAAAATTTTATAATTTAAAATACAGTGGCAATCAAAAATAATGCAACGCTTAAATTTTTTACTAATTATAATTAGTAAAATACATATTTTTTCTTATATATA